GTTGCAAATTCATTTTTGCAAACATGTATGAATTTTTCTGTTTCAGCTATGTTGATGAGATTTTCTAAGTCAATTTTTTCGACTTTTTTCCGCAATTATCTAAAGTCATGTAAAGTGGAACTTTTTCAATAAAACTATTTCATTACAATTTAATGAAACATATGTATGTATGTATGTATATATTTACTTATGCACATACACATATATACGTACATACATATACATATCTATGAATTGTAGCAATTCATTAAATTGCATTAGTGTATGCATGCGCAGTCGGCTAATTTTTACATTTCCATTTGCCGACGGCATTTTGCATGCGCAAGAATTTCCTGTTGCTAAAAAATTGATGTACAAATAAAAGCGTTGTAAAAATATACTTACTTATGTAATACAATTATGTTGACAAATTTAAGTTATTTTAGGTAATATTTTTATTTTATTTTTCAATATAATATTATATCGTACAAATGTGTTTGTAAAATTAATTTCATTAAAATTATTTCTGCAATCAAATTTTCTATTCATGCAAAAAGCCAAACGCATAAATATGTACGTATGTACACATTCATTTGTAAATATGTAGATATGTAATGTATGTATGTAACATATATATGTACATACAAATGTGCGATTGGTCGGCTTTCGTCTTCCCCTCGCCGCTCCCATCCACACACAAATTATTCAATTTCTGGGAATCGACATGTGGCGCGGCATGGACAAAAATTCTACAATTTCGGAAAAAAAAATAAAACCACATATGTTTGTGATTTTACAAGTTTTGATTTTATTAAAAAAAAATTAATGTATTTTGCTGCAGAAAACATACACTTTTATTTAATGTTTATTAAAATGACACTTTAAAATACTAGTTAATGATTGAAATATTGGTATGGAACAGAGAAATAGAGTGTTTTGTCAAAAATTACCAAAAATTGCGAAGATTCGAGATAACTTATTTTACTGGATATAGAGAAATAATTGCCAATTTTCACTTAGCTGGCCGAGATTTCTTCATTTTAAGATTTTAGAATTTTTGTGTCGGATTGACAAAGTTGCGCTTGTTGATGATGAATTTGCGGGGAGATGTGCTGCGGTTATTTTTATGAATGAATTTACTTGGCCTTGAGAAATATGCAATGCGTTTATGAATGAAATAGTTATTGTTGTATTTGAGTATACGTGTAATTATGTGCATATATATGTATGTATGCTGCCGTGATTTGTACATATGTACATTTATATGCATGTTCGTAGTTTTTTTGGCAGTAATATGCATATACATATATATGCATGCAAAAACGTTATCAATTAATGGAGCATATACATACGTATGCGTAGAAAATGCATTTTCATTTGACTCCAAAACTATTTGGGCATATTAGTAGACGAAATAAAGTCGACTCTTAAGTTAAAGTTTGTCAGCCCCAAATAAGAAGATAGTTAGTATGTATGTACATACATATATGTAATATTATGTGCATGTGCAAGAACGTTATCAATAAATGGTTTTGGAGTATGTGTATTGGGTACATATGTACATATGTAAGTATGTACATACATATATACATTCAGATGCGATCAACTAATTGTAAAAATATACTTACTTATGTAATATACATACAATTATGTTGACAAATTTAAGTTATTTTAGGTAATATTTTTATTTTATTTTTCAATATAAGTTCTTAAACTATGTACATACAGATAAATTCAGAGTTTAAAAATCTAAAAGAAAATAAGAAATATAACAAAAATAAATCCTGAAATGAAACAATTTAAAATTATTTTTCTACAACTTTAGGTTGGACACGAATTACGAAAATGCCTTCTCATATGAAGACAAATTCTCACACGATCATTTAAGATCATTTTTATTTTTCACCAGTTTTTAATACCACGATTCAATCCACTCGGTTGAAATCGTACGGTAATAGTTTAAAAACTTGGCTCGTGTGTGCAAGTGAAAATTAACCACCTACATACATATGTAACTACTAACTCAATCAACATATATATGTATGTAGGTATATTATTCTACTTAAAAGGCATGCACTACTCTACTACTACTACGGTTAATTACTACAAAATTTAAAATGTTAGAAAAAAAGAAAATATACGAAAAAACCCAAGGGAATATCTGAAAATAGAAGAAGAAAAATAAAAATTAGATTTCATATTCAATTTTATAAGAAAATATCTGAAAATAGAAGAAAAAAATCTGAAAATAGAAGAAAAAATCTGGAAATAGAAGAAAAAAAGCTGCTGCCGTCGCATGTTGCCTCCAATTTCATGGGCTCTTAGCTTGCAATTGAAAATGCCATTTCGTTCAGTCATTTACTTTTTTTTACATTTAATCTTTTTAATTTATTCTGTTTAAGACGCTCCATGTTTGCTTGGGCTTCATCTCCAGCCAACCATTTCGCGTTTTTAAACAGTAATACGGTAACCATGGAATTCAGAAGTTGCTTTCGGTGCTCAAAACAATCTCCGGCTTCTGAAAACCATTCCGAAAATTCTTCATTTGTTTTTTTAATAAGCGCGTTAACAATTTGTTCATGAATTCCAACTGAATGAGCATATTTCTGAAATAAATGCTTATACCATGCCATCTGCATGCGCAATATTTCAAATACCCACTCAGTTGGATTAATTAGTCTCACATCAGGACATTCTTTATAATTCTTAGCTCGGATCAAGGCTTCGGAATAGTCTTTCAGTTCGCCTGGAGTTTTCACCATCGCGTCAATACAAGTTTTACATTGCGACTTTGACAATAATTTTTGGTAAATGGTATAACCTGCGTAGTACCTTTGCACCTGGATTTCTGCTGATGCCCCTTCCGCGAGAGCAAAGTGCTCTTCAGGAATGTCAATATCCCAAGAAAATTGCTCTTCTGGAATATCGACATCCATCGCAAGTTGCTCTGAAGGTCCTAAATTGTCTTTCAAGGAATCTTCATCAGCAATATTCCAATCCAGGTTCAAATCTTCATCATCTTCGCAGTTTGTACCTTTTTTATCAAATTTCCGTCTCAAAATTTTCATAGAAATTAAGCGAGCAACAATGTACTGAATTTCATGGCCCGATGGATGCGTATTAATGCCCTGAGTTGCGCTGATTTTATAAAAAAAGTTCTCAAGGGCATCTTGATTCAATTTTCCCAACAATATAAAATTTAAATCTTTGCAATTTTCAAAGACATCTTGACTTAAATTAATCATAGAATTAATGGTTAAAATAAAACCATCAAAACACAAGGAATTTATATTATTGGGAAGTTGGATCGACGAAATGAATTTAATGTGGTCCTTAAGCCTGTTAAGCTTGTCTACAGAATCGCGCCAAATTGGACCCTTCAATGGGTTTTTATTATTTAATCTCTTACAATCGAGCTCATCGAACAAATCATTCATGCGCTTTACAAACAACTGAGTCGGCTTGGCACATTTGAGGGTGTATTCATCAGACCCTAGCAACCCTTGTTTCTGCGCCATATCAATGCCTGCAGCTACCGAATTACTCAATAGCTGCGTCGCTCGGGATACGCTCATTTTTTCAAAATTATTGGGGTAAATATGCGAAGCTGTAAGCTTAGGACATACCTTGAAGTTTACATTCGCTTTATCTACCGAATATAATTGACGAATGACTTTACCGCTCGCGATGCCATCGACAGTTTTCAAATCGTGCTTTAATAAGTTATTCCGAACCGATTTAATTAAGTGGCAATAGTCGTAAAGACAGTGAATTTTATTTGAATTGAAAATAAAGAACGGATTTTCCGCGGAGACATTTAAAAGTTTAAAAAGACGAACGTTGGTTGGGCCTTGATCGCAGACGATGGCTTTGACGCTTAAGCCGAGGCCTTCAACCGTTTTAATATTTTCCGTTAAGGATTCTAAAAGATTTGAAGCCGACATACCGCCTTTTACCATATAATAGGAAAGGACATATTTCCAATCCGCCGCGATGGCTTTCACCATGAAAAAACAACATTTGTCGGCGACATTGAGGTCGCGATTACCGTCGCCAATATCCACGAAACCGTCAATAATATCTCTACTTTTATTATAAACGAGATCTTTTTTAATAGAAATTTCGTCGAATAAAATTTCGCAAAACCGCTCGGTGGGAGACATTTCAGAAACGACATATTTTAAATTTTCTATTACTTTAAAATCTATACCCGGCGATACATATTTAATAGGGCGCCATCGCAAAAGCGATTTTTTGTGAGGAAGTGAAAACTTCAAGTCATCGCGCATAAAATTATAGGCTTTAGTCGACATGTAATTAATATTTTGAGATAAAGTTTTTTCCGTGTCCGTGTAGGAACTAACCGACCGTACTATCATTCTAGCAAAATTTAAAGCGTCATCGCTACAATCGGGCGAAGCTACTATCGCGTGTGTTTGCAAACGAGCAATTTGTTGCTTTAACGCGACGTTTTCGTTTTGCAACTCTTCAATACGTATGTCCTGCTCTTTCGCGTTACCCTGATAAATACGCGCAGCCCGAGCGAAAGGCTCATGGTCGCAAAAACCTGGTTCATTGCTAAGGCCCTCCTCAGTGCCGCGAACATCAAAACGCTGTCTTTTGACTTCTAAATCAGAGAATTGTTCGAATTGCTCGAGTGTCAAGTCGCATTCCGACTTTTTCGGCATGTAAACATGCTTAACAGGCTGAAGGATTAATTCGGAGGAGCAGCTATTTGGCTCACTCGGAATTTGAGGTGGCAAATTGAATAGAGGAAAAGCCCCCTTTAAAAGTCGCGTTTTAGTTAAAATGTTGGTTACTTAAGCTGAATGTACATTTGCACCTATACATACATATCGTCGTTTAAGGTACAAAACCGCGTATCGTCGTTTTTGGCTCAATCACACACAAGCTCTTGGCTGAATCCTTATCCATTCATCCTGAAAATATTTTATCTAGAAAATAATCTATGTAGAAAATAATTTATGCAACCTCACATACGCGGGTTTGCATTTTGTTGATACGTGGTTTTGTACTTTAAACGACGATATACATATGTACATGCATATACATATCTGTACAAACATATGGACACACTAAAGCAGATTTTTTGACGAAAAACCCATTAAAAAACTACAACTAACGTTAAGTACCGACTTAATTTTAACCCACTCCCTCAATATACATAATACATCAGTATTAATCAATAAACATACAATATACATATGCATAATAATTATACATAATCACTTTCACTAGGCACAAGGACCTGCCCCACCAGTCACACATTTACACATTCACACACCCCAACAAGCAAAATAAACTTAAAGAAAGTTTTTTTTAAGTTTTCAATTATAAACATTAAGCTTACAAAACGTTGATTTTTTGTTTATAAAACGCTTGAAAGTAAGCGTAATATAATCGAAAAGGAACATTGGTTTTAAGCGTAGGAATATAAACTTTTAATAAATGTTCAAAAGAAAGCTTTTTATAAGCGTAAAAGTGTAAACTTATAACTACTTATAATCTTATAATCACTTACGATTGAAAAAATTTATATTTACTACTTCATGTCGTTGGCATTTGCATTTCATTTATAAGTTTAAGTTATTTATAAACATTCGCTCTCAAAACTTATTAAATGTTTATTTGAAAAAAACTTGTAATAAGCTTAATATTAAAAATGCTTATTTAGCGCTTATTATAGCAAACTTACTTTAAGTTATTTTTAAAAAAATTTACTGAAATGCTTGTTGGTACGTTTAAATTTTTGAACACACAGAAAGAAGCAAATGACATACATATGTACACACACAAACAAGCAAAATACATACATATGGGCCATTCCACGTAAAATATTAATTGCTATTCCTCGCGAAGTATACTGAATTTTTTATGAAACTCGGTGGGGATACTATTATTTGTTATCCCGCCTACGATCACTATATTTTATTATAACACTACACTTATCACTTTTATTTCCACAAATATATTATCCTTAAAGGTTCGCATGCGTTTAGTCAATTAATTAAGTAAAACGCGTTTATAAATGTCTTCACAAACGTTTGCTCATTTCACAAAACAAGCAGAAATAACAATGGCTGACAGCATAATAACTTTCACCAGCACCATGGAATAGCCCATATGTATGCATATTCACTATTTTGGAATGCACTCATTGTATTGTATATATACATATATTCCTACACACATATGTCCACTGCACTCACTAAAAAACTTCATGCACTAAACTTAATGAAAACAACTTACCAAGGTTGAGGGTTGGGACCGCCCCACGCTTCAGTCGCTGGCCTCCAACGGCGAAGTGAGGGAAGTGGGCGCCGCAAATGAAGGTGTTGGTTGGGGCAATGTGGGCGTCTGGCGAAATCCGGAGGTTTTGCCTCCACTTCAGGGCCATCTCCTTATCCCGTGGCCATCCAAAGAGTTTGGCCTCCAAACTGGTGATGGGGCAGTCCCGGGCTACGCAGTGGCGAATGCTGGACATCTCGTCGATTTAGGGCGCGCGATAAGTCAGGAAAAAAAATTCGCTCAAAAAACGCGTCCGAACGGCTCGGAAAACTTTTCCGTATGAAAGACGTTAGCATTTTTTCTTTATTATCTTTCATTTTCGCGCATTTATGCTTAAAAACCAATCAGACTCTAATAACGGTATTTAAACGGACCGATGTCAATGCAAAACAGATTTTCATTTGTAGGTGATTGACATATGTACATACATACATATATACGCGTTTGTACATATTTATGTATATACATATGTATCACGAAACTTATAAAGAGCTAGCCTATTGCGCATGTATCCATAGATGAAATTTCATGAAATGCTCCAATATATAGATATATGCATGATAAAAACATAGCAAGGTAGAAGCGTTCTCTCAATTTGTCGGCCATGATTTTTTTTTGAAGTTTGCCAACATTTTAAAATCATATAAAAGTGAAAATAAAAAATTGAAATTGTTCGAAATTGTTGTTGCTTGAGATTGAAAATGAAAATGTGTGTGTGAGTTTGTGAGTAAATTTAAAAATTAAATTGTTTGGAAACGTCAAGAATTTTAAAAGTGACTCTCAGCGGTTCTACCTTACTATATTTTTATCATGGATATATGTATGTACGTATATATATATGTGTATAGATATATGTATGTGCGTATGGATTGTGGAAAATATTCCCTCAGAATATCTTATTTCCCTCAGAAAATCTTATCAACTTAGCTGAAATAGAAAAATGCATACATGTTTTGCTGAAACAGAAAAATTCATACATGTTTGCAAAAATGAATTTGCAAC